GATTGTGGCGGGGGATGTATGGAGTCGAAGCAGCGCAATCTCCATCATCATCAGGCCATATCCACTCATCAACAACCCCATCTACCAAGCTGCTGAAGCGATAACAAGAAGCTGGTTCGTGGTTTCGGGGAATGGCACTGATGGTAAGGCTGAATGGAGATGATCTGCTCGCGATGGGGCGCCACAGGACAGATAGGAAAAGCCGCCTCACCTAGAACGAAACATGTCTGTGGCGATCTGAGGCGCCTCTGTGACTGGAGACGCTTAGTAGAAATCGAAACCTGAGATGCGCTTTCGAAAATCCTGAGATGCGCTTTTGAAATTCGATCCGGTATAGTCCTTTGGTCTCTCGACTTTTTTTTCACTCAAATTCCAGATGTGGCCCCCGTCCCGTCTGCCTCTTTACGTAGGTCGCAAGGTAGAGGCGGTTAAGCTATTGGTGAAGAGGGCACTGCAATAAGCCGCATAGGACGTTTCCGAGTGAAAAAGGCGGATAGGATTGTCGAAGCTCAGCAAAACCGGAGGAGCGGGAGCTGATTGTTGCCGCGATCCGCATTCACCAGTTCGGAGAGTTCTTGGCCGCTGTAAGCACAACGCCGGTGACACAAAGGCGCCCTTGAAACCTCTGCACTTCTCAAACCCCGGGCCGCCAATGTGGCAGTAGTAATTGTGTCGTCGTCGCCTCGTCGGGTTTGCGGCGCGCGGGACTGAACGACGAGAAAGAGCGACGGGGGTGGTCAAACGGGGGGGGAAAGGAGGGACCAAGAAGAGAAGAAGAGAAGAAAAAGTATGATCAAACGGGCGAGCAAGAGTAAGGTACGTTGCCTCGAGGCCCGTCGGCTGGTGATGGAGGCCGGGTGTATATTAATTAGAGACGCAACTGTCGGCGGGGCCAAGCTTCCGATCTGGTCGGTCTCTCCCCTAGCAGAGCCAGGCCTGATGTTCTGGACCGTCTTAGGCGTGGAGCCCCTGTGCTGTGCTCGTCTCGCAACGCTGTGGCTCGCCCTTGTCCCCTGCTGTGGCTCCGTGCTTTGGGGGTGCCGTGGTTGGATTTTGGGGGCTCTTTGATTTTTTCTCTTTTGCTCTCGGTGCTGGAGGCGGTTTCTGGCGCGTTGGGGAGGGGGGTGGTGCCGCCATTGAGGGCTGCATGGGGCAGATGCGACAGCGGATCGAGAAGTGAGTGGTGAATCGGCACACCCCGAGGAGCGTCTTTTAGGCCCATGGGCAGTAGCTCTATGCGGTACTAGTCCCAGGCCGTAGTGCTGTCGATGGAGAATTTTCGCTGGAGTCGTGCTGGGTGCTTGCCCTTGGATCCTTGCCGCAGCTTGGCTTTTGGCTGCTGTGTGCTTGGGGGTTGCTTCTCGCACAGCAGTGGCTGACCAGAGACTCAGGCACACGGCCAAGGCCGTTTGGCATGTGGGCTCGCGTCTGCACAATTCGCCTCCTCCAATGAGCCGGGGCGGATCATGTTGATGGAGTGGGATGTGGACAAAGAGAGTCGGCGCTTTTCGAAATCGGGGTTGAAAGAATTGGATGGCAAAGATGGGAGAGAAAAGAATTGAAGATGTTGGAGGCCTTAGAAGAGAAGAGCTTGCTACTTGGTACCTACCTATAGTATCCGTAGATTGAGGTAGGTACGAGAGGGGATTCTTACCTTACCTACCTCCTTCCGTGTACCAGGTATTGTCAGATACCAGTGAGGCAGGTGCGTTAGTGGTCGTTACGAGTACTTGGGTCGGTAGAGAGAGGTTAAAGGCAGGCAGGATGGGTTATCAGACGCTTGATAGCAGGGGACCTGCTTCAAACATTCTGATATTCAGAGCAGGCGCGAGGCTGAATAATTACACGGGCAGGTAACAGTTTGCAGCGAAACCAACTGACGCGACGGCCCTCTATCTGGGGTTTGGACCTTCAAACACTGAACTCTCAAGGTATGTGCCACCAGGACGGCATCTTCAGGCCACCCAACATTCATGCCATGCACGCTCTGCACCTGTAAAAGGCCACAGACTTGGTGCAGTCATGCCTTCAAGGTTCGTACATACAAAACACATGTCGGCCCTGGTCAATCTGCACGCTCACCGAATCTTCTTTGCCAGCCCACAGTCACTACAAGAATAGCCGCCACACTCGCCGTGGAAAGGAATCACAACGGAAAACCGAGCTTACGCCGTATCGTCCCGTAATCCGTACGAGGACATGCCTCCTCCAGCGGTAGATACCGTATTCAGAGGTGGTATGTGCTGGCAGGGGAGGGGAAGTGGACGCACAGTGTGTGGGATGTGTGGGATATGTGGGATATCTTGCATCGATCGCAGCATGGATCCTTCGCTGAATCAGAAAGACACAGCGACAGCGTCAGAAGCCACGTTTGGAGATGCAAACAACTCGAGGTGCCGTTTGCTACATCTGCCAGCGTCCAATCTCTTTCATATGCGGTATGGCCGCCTCGGCGCCACCAGCCACCACGAGGCTGCCTGAACGGCTTGCACGGATTCCGAAAGGCCTGGCTGGCATCCGTCGAAATTAAATGTTAGTGCGCAACAAGCAAGAAGGCCCGAGGTCCACCAGCTCATATCACATCCGTACAGTACAGGGACGATGCCCCTCTGGTTCATTTTGATTCGTTTTTTGCTTTTCTTTGTTTCGCTTTGATGATGCTCAAAACGGGCGGCAAGTATCTACGGCGAATACTCATAACGTTCTTTGTTCAATGATAATCCAAAATGGCAGGATGCTGAACCGACGCCACAATAGTCGAAGTACATGCAGCCTCCTTCAAGACGGGATCCGGACACGAACGGGGGGCATCCCAACCCATTTGGTATCTCACCTTAATAACCGCCCGTCCAATTACCCGCTCGTCGTCAATCAGCAATACATCCGACCGGTGTCCAAAAAAACTTTACAAGCGATTTCGTGTGCCCCGGGATTAACGGCATCAAAACGCTGCTAGCAGTAAGAATATTTCTTCTTTTGCGCTACGGCACTACTAACACTGTCTAAGAACCCGCCATTAGCCAGGCGACCCGGCAGATGATTTTGTCCACTTCCACTTGCATGGATCGCCAGTGCCGACGCCAATACTCATCACTATCAGCAAACATTGCCTCGCGTCTTCGTCCTTTTAGACTCGAGTAGGGCGACAAACCTCCGCAAGCTGCTCTCCGCTGTCCCACGCTCAACGCCGTGTCGACTCGCCGAGGCCAGGGTGTGGTTGCAGAATGAGGAAATAAGAAGAAAGCCACGGAAGGCGTTGCTTCAATCGCCTAGCGGACAGACCCGTGGCGGCGTGTGGCTGTGTCCACGCGACAGGGGAGTATGCAAGGAGCACAGAATGTATGCCGCTTTGCTTACATGGGCCGAAGCATTCCATATGGAGTACGGAGCCACGGCACGGTGCGTTTAGGGCTTCACCAATCAATCATCTTATTCCACCATGGTCTTGATGGCCCGCTGAAGTCTCTGCTCGGGTAAAGGAAAGAGGAAACAAGGGAAGAGGTCGAAGAAGAGGTAAGGGGGCGGATGGGGTGGCAATCTGGCAGCCCAGTGGGATTGCCGCCCAATCACTCAGACAATGGCTGTTGTCACCAAGCCTCGGTATGGACCCTGTCAAGCTTTGTTTCAAACGTTGTATCTGCTCAAAGCAAAGCTCATCAATTGGCGAGGCGATATCAACTTGACCGTTTTGGGGGTGCCTCTCGAGATGGCCGACCAATATCGCTGCCATTGGGTTCTCACGAGTCAGGGGAGTACCGAGATCCCCCTCAATTCTCCAGCTGCATCGTCCCGTTGCCTTTAGGACGGTACCCGCTCTCGCGGTCTCTTGCCTTGGCTACTTGTACTATGGGCAAGCAGGGGTCCAAGAGGATACCAGAGCTTATTAGAGGCACAATCTCAGTTCGGTTCATCAATCGGGACGGACTTTGACACTTTGGGTCGAAACCCCGGCCAACAGAACAGAAAGCAAAGACAGCAAAACAAGACGCTCTTTCTTGGCTCCAATTGCGAAACCCGTGAGTCTCTAGCCACCCCATGCCAGCTACGACCTCGACCCTTGATAGCGATCCGGGGCGAACATTGTTTGTCTGAAATCGTATGATTGCGGGAGTGGCAGCTAGGTTGGCTGGTTGGTAAAAGTCGAACCGCTAGCGAATTAGGCTCCCAAAAATTGTGGCAAACTGTGGCTGAGCAGATATCAAAATTGCGAATCTCGATGGTGAAGGGATGGTCAAGGTAAGATTCGGGTAGTGTGTGTGTTGTTTCCTCGTCTCTCGACTCTTTCCTTTCATTCGCTGACATCTCTTTCAAGCATCGTCTAGTGGTGTCTAACTGCGCAGGTCGCCACGATGGTCGAGGACTTACAGCTCAGCTCGAGATAACGTATGATGGTATCTGCTAAAGCCACCACCTGCACGGCATATGCAGAATAGCAATCACATCTCACAGCACTCCAACGGTGCATACCTCAACATACGAAATCCCCGTGACACCAACACATACATACATACTGCGCTACCCCCCTTACTGACGGCTGTGAGACGGGACATGGACTTGGCAATGAGACACCCGATGCGAAAGCCGATACTAGCCCATTGCAACCACATGTGATACGATAACTGACTGAGTGATCAGATCAATGCACGTATGTGAGCTTATTGATCCAGCCTCAATTTCAACCTATGAAGGAGTCGTTGCTGCAATGATTTGTTATGATTTGTTCATTTGATCCATAGACTGTTCCTTTCTGTCCATCATGTCGTCTTTGGATGAATTGGATGATATAACCATGTGTGGCTTGTCGGTCAATCTGCATGCAGGTTAAAATCGGGCCCCACAGTCTTGTTTCCTCATGCCAGCGCCTCTCAACACCAATCAAGTACAGATGCACCGTCAATCCGACGACGTCTCACAGCTATTCCCGGTAACACATTCATACCACTCGATTCTCTGTAGCTTGATCACATGGATGCATTGATCGTCATTACAAAGGCGTCATAATGGCCGCCTCGCTGCCCTACCGCGAGCCAGGAATCATCACGATTCTCATCCAGGCATCCTTCCTGCTTCTCCTCAACGCTGCCAATTTTGTACTCGATCACAGTCTCTATTGCGGGCTCCTCGGACAGATCTTTGTAGGAGTAGCCTGGGGGACGCCCGGGGCCAAGTGGCTGAGCGCAGAAGTCGAGCAGGTTGTTGTGCAATTGGGATATCTCGGGTTGCTGCTGTTGGTATATGAAGGTGAAGCCCCATTGAGCCCGTCCGATTGTCCTTCTTTATTTCTCGGTGATTTACCAACTGATGTGATGTACCCAGGCGGCCTGTCGACCTCTCTCACAGCGCTCAGAGCAAATCTCTGGCTCTCCTCATGCGTCGCCATCACCGGCATCAGTGTGCCCATAGGCCTCTCTTTCGTCTTGCAAAAACTCAGCGGCGCAACGCCTCTCCAGTCTTTTGCTGCCGGGGCCGCACTATGCTCCACGAGCCTTGGGACGACCTTCACGGTGCTTCGATCAACTGGTCTGGTCAAGTCCCGGCTCGGCGTCGTGCTCACGAGTGCCGCCATGATGGATGACGTTGTTGGGCTTGTCATGGTCCAAATCATTTCAAACTTGGGGTCGTCCGGCGATCACATCGGCTCTGTTACTGTTGTCAGGCCACTTCTGGTGTCCTTTGCTTTTGCCGTATGCGCTCCTCTGCTATGCGTCTTTGCGGCCAGACCATTTACGCTCCGGTTGAACTCTTACCGGATGAGACACTCCCAAGGATTTATCAATCAGCTTGTCAATAAGAAGGGGACACCTTGGGTCATCCACAGCTCTATTCTCATCGGCTCCATTGCTGGCTCGACATATGCTGGTACTTCTAATCTATTCGCGGCGTATATTGCCGGCGCTGCCATCAGTTGGTGGGATTCAGAGGTGCCGCATCCTGTTCAAGAGGCAACAGCGGTTGGAGCATCAGCTTCAGAGCAAGAACCAGGCAGTGGCAGTGCTTCTCTGAGTGCATCTAGAGAATCTCAGAGGATAAACTCGTCTGGAAGTGCCGTATTCGACAGATACTATTCACAGCCCCTCGAGAGAATACTAAAGCCATTCTTCTTTGTAAGTGATCGCTCTCCCAGTAGCAATATGTAGTTGTTAATTCTTGCAAGGCATCGATTGGCTTCTCCATACCAATCACCGAGATGTTCGACGGTTCCATCGTGTGGAGGGGGGTCGTATACACCGCTCTCATGATGCTCGGCAAATTGTTGTGCGGTGTCTGGCTGCTTCGCGTACCATTGACGTGCATTCTTCCTACCAAACTATTGGCCGTCATCAAGCATCCCAGAATACAGATGCCTCATTTCTGGGGTCGCGACGACCAAAAAGAGTCTAAAACGCCTCGTAACCCGACTCCCGCTCACACACCGCAGTCACAACATGAAGAGTCTTCTTCACCAACCTCCCAGGACGCTTCGCCGCCACCTCCTCCTCCTCAGTTGAGCCGAGACTCGGCCACGCAAACGACAAACTCGCATTGTAGCCCTGCCGGGACGAATCCGCGATCAGTCTACCCTGCCGTCGTCCTGGGCTGCGCAATGACCGCCCGCGGCGAGATTGGCTTTCTGATCTCGTCCATCGCGGAAAGCAACAAGGTCTTTTCTTCAGCAAGCGCCGACGAGGAGGGCAAGAGCTCGGAGATATTCCTTGTCGTTACTTGGGCCATTATGCTTTGCACGATCCTGGGTCCTTTGTCGTTGGGGCTCGTGGTGAGACGGGTGAAGCAGTTGCAGCAGGGCGTTGAGAAGCAGGGTCGGCTTGTTCAGAAGGATGTTCTCGGTGTCTGGGGCTTGTCATGACGGCAGAAGCAGAATTGTCGTCAACCTGATCATTAGCAGAGAACAGGCAGCCTGGGTCTCTACAAGGTGATATTCAACGTGGACATCTCAGTCGTTAGAGTAATACCCGCACAACATCAATCGAGGTCTTGGATTCTCACATGACTATTCGCGCTGCTGTCTCTAGGACGCGGTGCGAGATGGATCAAGCGGATCGTTACAGGCCACCAGCGGACACTCAACAAGCAAGCTGGCCCAAACATCCGATGCCAATGCGGGTTTCCCCCAGCTCGAGAGCCTTACATTTCACTCTATCCGTAGGCTGTGACTCGTTATATACGAGTATCGGACGATGAGGGGACAGGTGAAATACACTTTGCTACGATGGTGCATTTGAAGAGCCCTACCCAACGGCATCCTGACAATACCCCTTTATCGTCTCTTTGATGGCATTCTTTACATCCGCTGTTGCAGAAGGAAAGAAAAGCATGGGAGGGAAAGTTGGAGATAGTATGCTGATCTATACGCTGCCGTGCCGCCGCGAGATTGACATGTACTTTCGAGTGTGAAACAACAGAGGGTCGGTTCTCGGCCTTACATGCAAGCCATATATACCACGTTTTTTTAGCAACGCATATCGAGCTCATCATATTGCTGATGTTGAGACCACACGTGTGTAGTGGAGGATGTGACTATGTTTGCTTCCGCAACTGACGGGAATTACTTGGTATAAACGCCAACATATGTATGACTAGTGATAGTAGATAGTTTGGGTACTCAAAAACTTGGGGTAGAGGGGGAAGTTCGACTCCCTCTGATCCCTTGTAGGCTTTGTCTTGGTTCAATCCAGGCATGTTTCTAGCATCTGGTCGAGGTAACTTGACACGAATCCTTTTTGACTTATTACAATCCTCACATGACAGCTCTCTGAAGCTGTCCCAACGTCAGCGATACTCACATGATACTCGCCGTGTATACATTATCACCATTGCTATAATCTCAGTAGATAATTACTTAGCAAAACTATGCCATTCGTCGTAAAATATACATGTGCTTTACCCATGAAGGCATTCAGGGTAGACTTGAAGCTTCCAACAGGGGTTAGAGGCATTCCATGTGCCAATCCCGGCACAACCCCCCACCTTCAGGTGCCACACCGAGAGCTTCACCGCGGTGAGAAATTTCCAGCCCTTGCTCAGTTGAGTCACCACATGCTTGTCGCAAATCAACCTCTCCCACTACAAATCCCAAGCGCTCGTCGCCGCCCTCACTTGTTGCGCCTGGCTCTTTCCGCACAATGTCTCACAAGGGCAAGAACAGCGCCAGCTCGGCAAAGGGCAAGAAGCCCTCAAAGGCCGGCGCGGAGAGCAAAGGCGAGGATGTGCTGCAGGCTGTGGTGCGTCTAACCAGCTATCGTCGCGGGGTTGTTAGAAGAAGTCATGATTGCTAACCGTGGGGGATGCGCATAACAGGTGCTCGCAGACTCGTTCCAGGACCGATACAAGCCGTTTACGGTAGAGACGCCGAGAGTATGTGAATGCTTGTGAAGCTGGAGGAAGCTTGAGGTTGCTGGAGCATCTCATGATGGCAAGCTGACGTCTCATGGGCCTGCAGTGTCTTCTGCCGCTGGCAAACACCCCTCTGATCGAATACACGCTCGAGTTCCTGGCCATGAACGGCGTCCAGGAAGTCTACATCTACTGCGGCGCGCACACAGACCAGGTTGAGGACTACATCGGGCGCTCTCGATGGGCGTCGTCGTCAAAATCGTGCCCGTTCTCGGTGCTGCAGTTTGTTCGGGTCGCCGATGCGCGGTCCGTTGGCGACGTCCTGCGCGACATGGACAAGCGGTCATTGGTGGACGGCGACTTCCTCCTGGTGCACGGCGACATGGTGTCGAACCTGATCCTGGACGGCGCCCTGGCCGCGCACCGGAAACGAAGAGAGGCGAGCGCCGCCAACATCATGACGATGATCCTGCACAGCGGCGGGACCGAGGAGCACAGGACCAAGACGAAGGGCATCACGCCCGTGTTCGTCGTGGACACCAAGACGCAGCGCTGCCTCCACTACGACGAGATGAACCCGCTGCAGAGCGACCACTACCTCTCCCTGGATCCCGCCATTGCCGACGAGCTGTCGACCGAGTTCGAGGTGCGAGCCGACCTGATAGATGCGCAGATCGACATTTGCACCCCGGAGGTCCTTGCCCTGTGGTCAGAAAGCTTCGACTACGAGCTGCCGAGGAGAAACTTTTTGCACGGCGTGCTCAAGGACTGGGAGCTCAACGGCAAGATGATCTACGCCGAAATCTTCGAGGACGGCTATGCCGCGCGGGCAAGCAACCTGCAGATGTACGACGCCATCAGCCGTGACATTCTCGGCCGATGGACGTTTCCCTTCATCCCCGAAAACAACATCGTGCCCAAGCAGGCCTACAAGAAACACAGCAACAACGTGGTGATCGAGACGGGCGCCTCCCACGCGCACGACGCCAAGCTGCAAAACTCCGTCATTGGGACCGACACGAGCATCGGATCCGGGAGCAGAGTCATCAACAGCATCATCGGCACCGGCTGCAAGATTGGCGCCAACGTGACGCTGGAGAACTCGTACGTCTGGAACGGCACGACCATCGGGGACGGAACCGCCGTCTCGCAGTCCATCCTCGCGGGCAACGTCGTCGTCGGCAAGGGCTGCACAATACCCGCCGG